CTCCTCTCTCTCTCTCTCTCTCTCTCTCTCTCTCTCTCTCTCTCTCTCTTTCTTTCTTTCATTCATGTCATGGCTGCCCCTGAAGCTCTGGGAACTCCGATGGTAGAGGTTGGCGGATAGTGGCTGGTTTCCCTTCTCTGTGGCCTCGACTGTCTATGTTAGAAGGGTTATGTCACTTTGTGGAGTGCCTTCCTGCTCTCTCTCTGTGTCTGTTCAGGCCGCCCTCATCCAGACAGTTGATGGCACTTCCTTTCTTTGATCTTCAGTAAATTCACTCCCTAAGGCACTTGGGTGCTGGCACGTCCAAAAGACTTCATTGTAAGTTTGGGGACATAGAGGTCATTTATATTCTGGTTATAAAATATGTGATAAAAATTTAAGTGGTAAAATACACATAGCATAGAAGTCATCATGTTAAATACTTTTACATGACGGTCTGTGGAACTCAGTACACTCACCCTACTGTGGTACTCAGTACACTCCCGATACTATGCCACTGATCACTTTTGGATACTTTTTATCATCTCATGCTGATCCACCTTGGCCTTTATCTTCTTTTCTTGCCAAATTCAGAACTCAATTTTTCCCTCCTTCCTCCCTGTTTTCATCTCTCCCCTCTGCCTTTCATTCAGCAAATGCTGATGTCCTTCTGAGATCAACTCTTCGATAGTAAAGAGAAATATGATTCCTGGGCCTTAGGGAGCTCAGGGTCATAAAGTCATTGCTAGGACTTCTCTCTGTTCTGTGTGTTTCCCTCCACAGGCTTCCTGGTTCCCTTTCAAATGCTTCATTTAACATTGCATATAAATGCTTTTGAAGATGCATCACACAAGTTCTCGGTGTATGGTGTCATCATTCTGTTTTTCTTATACGATGATTGCTGATTTTAAAATGCCGCAATTACAGAAGGCATGTGCTACTCTAGAGTATTTGATTTTACATACAAGAGACATAGGAAGAGTCAAAGGAACATATAGAGTTGTCCAAAGGACAGGAGTCTCAGAGTGGGATCCGAAACTACCCGCAGGGCAGACCAGGTTAGATCTGCTGTTAAGACCTTGGCCTTGTCCAAATTCATCTGATCTCTGGATTTTCAGGAAAATTTTACCCATGGTTAAAAACATAAATATTTTCATGAAAGACTTTTGCTGTGCATATCGCTCTATATAAATAAAACACTGATGGCCAGTGACCAGACAGGAAGTATAGGCGGGACAAGGAGAGAGGAGAATTGGGGAAACAGGAAGAAGGGGGGAGACACACTGCAGCCACCACCAGGACAAACAACATGTAAAGACGCCGGTAAGCCACCAGCCACGTGGCAAGGTATAGATTTATAGAAATGGGTTGATTTAAGATATAAGAACAGTTAGCAAGAAGCCTGCCACGGCCATACAGTTTATAAGTAATATAAGCGTCTGAGTGATTATTTTATACATGGATTGTGGGACTGCAGGGTTTGGTGGAACCTGGAGAGAAGCCCTCCAGCAACAGACTTTATACTTAGTTTTATGAATCTGGAATCTTTTCTTATTATCACCTCTGGCTTCAATCTCTGTCATAGGATGTGTGGTTTTGAATTGAACTGCCTGATGGGCATTTTCAGAGGGATTTTTGGTTACAGTGTAGTCTGATGTATCAACTAGGTGTGATTGATATGGTACATTTCACATTATAAAACAGTTATGATTGGGAAGCAGGACTTTTGGCATGGGTACAGCTATTTAAAGCAAGTAGTTGTATGGTTTCTTGTAAGAATAAAGGACAAGGATGATGAGATTCCTAAAATTCTGTTAGTGATAATTGGTGTGAGGAAGAAATACAGACTATTATTCTGATCTAGAGGATTCATCTGCTGATCTACAGGTTTCATAGTTACTATCCTCCAAATGAATGTCCTAGCGAGACTCCTTCATAAAATGGAACTTAATCATTTGGATTGGAAACTCTATGCTATTTCTCCACTAAGTAAAGTATTTGTATCTATCTATCTATCTATCTATCTATCTATCTATCTATCTATCTATCTATCATCTATCTGTGTCTGTGCTTAGGCACACATGTGTGCATGTGCATGCCACAGTGTATGTGTGGAGGTCTGAGGATAGCTTGTAGTACCATCTCTCTCCTACCACGTGAGTGCCAATGATGGAACTCAGGCTGTCAGGCTTGGAGGCAAGTCCATTTACCTGCTGAGGTATCTCACTTGGCCCTCATGGGGCATTTTTTATGATTGTGCATTTTGGCATCTTATTATAATCCTAGCATCCAGGAGGCCACTGCAGGAGGATGGATGGGCTGCACAGCAATATCCTTTCTTAATAAACCCAAATCTCATATGAACATGCAAACAAAGTGTTAAAATCTGGAAGACCTGGCAGCAACATACAAATTAGACAGTGATAGAGAAGACCATTTTGTCATAAGGAAATGTCCTTTAAAACCCTCCACCAGACCAGTTTGTCTTCTTTTGGCTAATGGTGCCAATTACCGTCTGTCAAGTTGTCTATCACCAATACCAGATACAACTTCATATGTGTAATGAAGCAACAAGAGCTGTTCCGTCTTCCTGCGTGGCAACATGGATTCTTCCAAGTCTTCTGCTTTACATTTCCTCTGCCCCTCCGTGGTAGGGTTCCCCCTAGGTCTCCATGATCTTACACTGGGTGCTATGATGAAGTCCTTATCTGGTCTCAATGTTTCTCTTCCGGTCTCATCC